TCTGGCTCAAACCCAGAAAAAAGTGCAAAATTTGCACTAAATTCATTAAGCTACAATTTCAGAATTGCAGTCTTCCAAAGTAAATCAAGCTCTCCCACGGTATTATCATCAACTATTAAATGTGTGAGTCTCCCTGTGCATATATATAAACACACAAGAGAAATATATGTGGAGGTTTTTTTTTAAATCTGTCTATTACTAAGTGTATGTTTACATAGATTATAAAGCTTTGTTATTCTGGATAATGACAGATGTGGATGAATTTTTATTGATCGATTCATGTAGGACCACAAATCTTTCCTAACTTCTTTGTCTCATGCCTTTGTTAGTACAAAAACATAAGCAAACACCAGATATCTTGATACTTTCTGATAGCCTCCTTCATATACAAAGTTAGATTCATCAAGCTGTTAGCTGCAGTCTAGCAGTCTTCCTTCTCTAGGGATCAGCTGTCCCATGGCAGCTTCTTCCACTATCCAATGCAATCATAGCAAAATAAAGCTCTGCATCTGAGGTGTGCCCTCCACATGACAGTTCCTTCAACAGAGGCACAGTGTTGTGTATCAAACCCAAAAGGGCAACTCTGAGAAGCGTGCAGTGGCCGTGCTGGTCCTGGCACCAGGTACCTGCTACCCAGGTAAAACCCATGACATAACAGAGCCCACAGGTTCCATGGGCCATTCCGCCTGTTCATCCTCCTGCCGGGAGCTTCTGGGATCCCCCTCAAAAAGCAGGACGTGCAGGTGGTTTTTCAGAACCTACAAAGTAAGGTCAGTTGAAATTTTGATATTCAGTACCTGCAGCTATTCAGTTCATACACCCTGAATGCACCGTTCAGTTCAGGTGCAGTAATTAACCTCTGCAATTCAGTACTGCCATCTCTTAGTGACAAGAAATGAGCAAGACAGTCCCCCCCCCCAAATAATGAATGTTTAATTTTGATATATCTTTTGTATATTTATTTATAAAATTAGTTTCATTTGTCATTTGGGGATTTTTTGGTACTTGTATGGTGCCTTTGATCCATGTTGTCAAGATTTTTCTCCACATCACAGAAATCAGAAATTTTGAAGAAAAATATTGAGAATGTTAAAATTAATGATCACAGAAAAATATTTTAAAAGAAAAATACAAAACCCTAATCCAAGAGAAGCATGGCGGTTGACAGAAGTGAAAGAAGTTTTATATGTGAAAATATATTTGCATATATTAATATACACACTATGTGCTGATCATAAACATTCAAACCTCTTTTTAGTTATATGTGGTAAGTACTAAATACAGCAAGAGCTTCCCACTTTTAATTCAACAGTTTCTCTAGTCAAAAAGAACAAGATTAATACTCATGTTTAATACACTGAATTCTCAAATCTATTGAAAGAACAGAATCAACAGGCAGGGGGTGAAAAAGCTTTTGCATTCTTTCCTTGTGCTGCCACCACAGGACAAGTCACTAGTTTAGCTGAAGCAGCCGCTTCACAAATGTACAATTAAAATATCCTATGTACACACATATATATTTACATGTACATTCTTGTCAGTGTTTGTTCTGACCGACTAATAAAGCATGTAAGATTGGAAATAATGCTTTCTTTGCTTTGTGATGAAATCACTTTGAAAGTGGCTTTAGGAAAAAAAAAAGTCTCCTAAAAAAGTACTGCTAAATAAATCACGTGTGCAAATAAGCTGATTACATTTGGCTGCACAACCAAATGACAAATTACACCGAAAATGGCTTTTTAAACTTGCAACTGTAAGTCTGCCCCCAAGGCTGACCCAAGAGTCCTTTCAGCTCAGCTCAAAGCCATTACTTTGCTATTAAGTGCCATCCATTACAAAACTAAAATCATGTGCCATTACAATTACACGCTCATTTAGATGTGCAATTGTTCATTTTTACATGTGCAATATTGATATTGTCTTTCATAAATGTTTGATGCCTTCCTGAACCATATCTAGTAAAGGGAGTAAGGGTGACTGTGTGCCTTTCTGCAATCTACAGCCTTTAGGAGCCCAAGCAATTTGTTAAAAAAAACCCAAAAGGAAATAATATCTCTGATTAGTTTTCCAGGTAGAACAAGGCAGCCAGTTTTGGGGTGGATTTTTTCTACATGTATGCATTTTCTTCACACAGCAATAAACCCTTTAATATTTATATTTTGCTATATATAACAAATCTCTATTGGCTATACCTGTCATTGGCTCTTTAAATTTATTACTGTATATACCAGATATCTGAGAGAACACTAGGTTATCAACATGTAATGTAAGAACATCGTACCAACTGAGGTGGAAATTTTCAGTAGGGTAATTACCAGCACAAGGCTGGTAAATTGATAAAGCAGAAAAGATGTTAGCTTGTGTTTTCATTTCCCACAGTCAGAAGCAGGATCCTCTCTAGGCACAGGCAAAGTTGCTTAAAGATGGGCAGGTTGTGGGGATCTGAGAAATGGCTGTGCTCCAGTGCTCCCTCTGCCTATGACAGAATGCCAGAAAGCTGGCCGCACTGCTACTGCTCGTATTGCCAACTCATGGGTGGCAGCGTGTGAGGTGATAACTATTCCTGCTGGGACCATCAGCACCTCAAAAAACAGCCATTACCAGTCCTAATATTCCCATCTTCCCAGCAAGCCCCGGAGCAACAAGCTTTCAGAATACCTGGCATATTCAATTTCCTTTCTCTTGCTCTGTTTTTGCTCCTGCCCTTTCTCCTTCCCTTTTATATTAAAAGCAGCAGCCCAATCTGCAGCCCCTATGAAATGCCCAAGTGAGGTTTTTTTACTGTTCATCCTTAGCATACTTAAATCTGCAAAAATACTGGAAGGATAGGGAATTCTACATCACGGTACATGATACCATTTTGGTATGTCAACCACAAAAAGGGTTGTGTTGATCCTATACAAATCTGGTTTGCAGCACCTGACACACCTCTTTCAAAAAGAGCAATAGCCCAAGGAAAACCACACCTTTATCTTGGTTACCCCATTGACTTTCCTGTCAGTAACTCTTCTGGGTAGCAGCAGACATGTAATATTTATGTGCACTTACATATTAATAATTGATAATTAGTTCTGATTTAGCTAAGGGAAACGGTTTACATGAATAGGGGAGTAACTGTTTTACATGATAATCTTGTGAGAATTGATGATGGGTCAGAAGAAACATGGTATGGCTGAGTATATAACTCCCTTGGGAGAAATTACTTCATATCAGTCTTTACGAGGCAGCAAGTGGGTTAATGAATATGCAGATGTACTGCATCAGTGTCTACAAAAAGCGTGTGATGGTGCACCATGCGCAAACAGTTCAGGAAACTAACTGGAAAATGATGTGTTATGAGAGAAGACGATAGGAGCATGACATCTATATATTAGCCTCTATTTCAAAGACCGTATTCGACTCTCCATACCTAGCTTAAGAAAAAATAAAACTCAAAGATTGCAGCAATGAACCAAGATGCTTAGTGGAACACAAAAGTCTTTGTATATAACAAACCAGGGTTGTAAATCTTAACATGGATATTAATAATTAAATACCTATTAATTAAGTACTTGTCTATATAATTTACATACTTGATGTTATGTACCTATTTTGAACCTCTGGATTCAGAGTTAGTAGGTGGTATAAAATATTATAAAAAGAACAAAAACCAAAAAAGTTACCTGGAATATAGCAAATTAACATCAAGGAATTTTAGTCTGCCCCTTTGGGATAATTAGCAGGGCGTATCCATTATTGTTGATTATATGTTGGAAGAAAAAATGTATTTTAATTTCCAAAACATGCAGGATGCCATCACGTATATAAATAAAAAGCTGACGGCCGTTCTCTGGTCCCTCATACCCATGTAACTGGTTGGCGCAATCAGGCAGGTTGGCAAGCGCCGTTTTCTCATTCACAAACCACACCTGAGAGCTTTCCCAGGCCGGTGGATTTTCCTTTTCTTTCTGGATGAGTCTAGTTGTGGAGGCCTCACAGCTGTGTTCAAAAGCCAATTATTTTCTCCTAATTTCCACTGTAATGACCTGATGAAACATGACAACACTTTGTAGGACAGAGTAGTAGTTCTAGCGATAGACTTAATTTTTGAAAGAAACTGGAAATCTCATTAACTACCAACAAAGGTAGGGAGAATGGGAAGAAGCACTTTCTGTTCAGCCAGTAAATCACCCAGACACAAGCTGTCTCCTAAATTGGACTTTTTATGGGCACGGTAGTGATTGATATCAGAAATCACCCTCGGGGGTGCCTCAGCGTACAGGCCTGAGTGTGAGCACTGGCTGTACTGCCTCTTCCTCATACAGGCCCCAGCCTTCTCCCCCCACAGCGGAGAAAGAGGCTCTGCCCCTGACTTGAAGCAAGCAGTGTTTCATGCTGGTTTTGTGCTGGTGGTGCACTAGCTGCTATAAAGTAACATACCTTATTATTTAAAAACAAAGCAAACAAACAAACTAAAAAAATAGCCTCCACAAAAAACCCCACCAAAACATAAACACAAAGCACTCAACAACCTGAAATGGCAAAACCTCGAAGGCAGTTTTACTTTACAAGCGACGCCACCTTCACTTCCAGTCCCCCCTCAGTCCTGACATAAGAGGGAGCTGGTGGCAGCACCTCCTCTTGCCCTCCCCGCACCTTAGCAGGGTCGGCAAAAACCGCCTCGCCGCGCCCCGCACGGCACCCTCCAAGCCCGCACCCCCCTCCCTAAATCGCGGGAGGAAGCCGCGGCAGCCCCGCGGAGGGTCGCGGCGGGCCGCCACCCCCCGCCTAGGGGACCGTTAAACGGCCGGCGGCGGCGGGCACGCGCCTGAGGCGAGAAGGCCCGAGCCCGCCCATCGCTGAGGGAGAGCGGCGCCGGGGAGCCCGCTCGGGGGGCGGGGGCTGGAGGCGGTGCCGCCGGCCGCGGGAGTCGCCCGGGAGGCGGTTGGAGGTGGGCTGGGGCAGGCCTTGCGGTCCCTCGGCCCAGAGCGGGGCGGGAGGGAGGGGCTGGCGAGCGGCGGGAGCCGCCGCGGGCTGCGGAGCGGTTTCTGGCTGGCTGGTGGGGAGCGGTTTTGTGTTCTTGCGGGTTGTGGTAGGTGCTCGAGGGCTTGTGAGGGAAACGGTGCTGTGCCTCTTTGGGCAAAAATCGTGTTAATTCTCTTCCATGCGTTGAGGAAAGAGTCTTCCAAGTAATATTTCTGATGGGCCCTCATAACATGTCAGCTGTGAATGTCCAACTTGTTAAGATGCTCAGAAAAACTGATACAGAAATCCTGCTGGGCTTGTTAGCTACTGCAGAAGGCTTCCTTTCTGTTGGACAGGTCACCAGTTAGAGTAACTACTGAGAAGCAGCATGGCCTTTTCAGGGGGAAGTCTCGGGGTGCAGGAGGTGTCCCTGCAGCAGCAGTCTCATGGAAGCAGTATATTTCTCAGCTATTGAAACCAATCTTTATCCACTCTTGACAGTAGTCAGAACACACTATTAGAAGGTTGGGCTACATAACTTACTGAGCTCTTTCTTAGCCTCTTCCTTCTGCTTAAAGGAGGAAATAGAGCTGTTAGAATACTGTACTTGATTTCACCCCTGCCCAAACTGTACCCTCTCATATTTTCTGTTGTGCTTGCTTTGAGAGTATGTGGTTTCACTGACATCCTTCTCATGGAAATATGGGGGTGGAGAAGGGCAGAGGGGCAAAATGTGTTGTTTTGCTGTCACCAGAAGTCATCTTATTTTCATGATCAGGAAAACACTTCAGAAAATGCAGGTGTGCTACATACTAGAAACTAGCTGTCCTCTCAAACAGATTTTCCTGTTGTTAAAAAGTGTGCATATCATTTGCAATCAGGGTATGGAGGAAAACTTTTTTTCTTTTTAAAATCTTCTGATGCAAATATTATTACTGCACTGCTTTATGAAGAAATTTAGTATCTAGTATACATAAGGTTTAAACAAGCATTCCTAATCTGGATAAAAGGAGACATATCTTCTGTGTCAGTAGTCTCAGTTCACCTGCAGGAATTTTCATTGTTGCTTTTGGCTACAGCTTTCAAGTCTTTTAAGTTGAAAAGCTAGGAAGACCAGGGGGATCAAACCAGAGCTTTTTTTCCTAGATTTAGCTCAACTGTTCTAATTCAGACAGTAGCCATTTAACAGTCAGTTTCTAGACCTGAATGGGTTCAAACTGGCTATGTTGGAAAATTGTTACTTGGATATAGTGTAAGTTCAGCATTTGAGTTCAAAAGATTGTAACATAGTAAATGGTCAGGTGATTTCTTTTTTTCTATAATGCAAAGACCAGGTAAAGTGGGGAGTGATACTGGATCATATTTTAAATAGCCTAATTTTTCTTTTCCTGTTCCATACTGGAATTGGATAATAATCTCTATAGTTTTAATGCTTGAAGTCATGGTAGTTTTCTCTGAATGCTTTTTGTTACAACAATTATCCCCTTGTTTTGTAAAGTCTCTTAAGACAATTTCAGTACTGTTGTGTTGTCATTTCTGCTATGCTTTTTCTCTAAAAGAAGCTGAAGTTCCTTCAAATCATGAAATCTCCCAGCTGACAAAGGAGCTGAGTGTGGAAAGAAGAAATAATATACAGATATTACAAAATAAGATTCTGCTAATTATTGTTTACTTAGAGTGGGAGATTTATCAGCCCAGCACCACCTTAGCAGTTTTTGGTGCTTCTGTAGCAGCTAAACTGAGTGGGAACATGCAAAACTATATTAATTTAAATAAAGTAGATAATAAAGACCAGTTACGCAAGTTTATTAAGATATATATCTATATATATATATATAGAGAGAGAGGAGGAATTCCTGTGCAGCCAGCAGACTGTAAAGGGTACACTGACTAAAATCCTATTGAATTAAATTGTTAGAAAATATCTTAATTTTCATCACCTGTCCCCATCTCCTTTCTCCAAGTGTACAGACTTGTAGAGGAAAAATCTTTTTGAGAAGAAACTAGGGTAGCTCAATTGGAAGGAAAGATGAGAGAGATGTCTGATTCAGTTAGGCCTTTTTTCTTTTTCCTGCCCAGATGCTCAAATATAGTATAATACAGCTAACAAGGGGTAGATAGGCTGCTCTACTCACTTAACATCTGTATGTGAAACTGAATGCTCTGTATTGATTTCTACTGCTTTTTTAAAGTGTGATGCTTCAAAATGTTAAAGGAAACTAAAAAGTTTATTGGTAAATCCCTTCAGCCAGCACGACCTGTGCATCATCTGTCTTCTAAACAAGGTAAGTAGCATGGCTAAGATGCGGTTTACTTTGGCAAAGCTTCAGTTGATTTTAAGGAAATAAAAAGGATATGTAAGGTGACTTGGATTTTTTTTTTTAATGACTTTGTTCAAACTACAGCGATGTATAAATATCTTGCTGTGTGTTGATCTTACTGCATCATCTATGTGATAAAATAGGAATTTATATTAGGCTTATGCAGAATTCTTTTTGGTGGTGGTGTTCTAGCTTGGCATCTGAACTTCTGTTTTCAGAAAGCTGATTTGGGCTCCTCTATTAAATTTGGATTTCTTAGGTCAGTTGACTCCTGCTATTGAAAGCATAAAATACACATAATTTAACAAACAGATTATTGTTTAGGTTTTATTGTGAGTATAATATAGTGCACTGTAGTGTTCTTATCTAGCCTTCATACGAGTTTAAAACAAAAAAGCCTAAGAAAAAAATCATTCAGTATTTATGTGAGGTGTGTACATTTTCTTTTTTGTTTTTGAATCTCTGTATGCCTCCTAGGATATTGCAGTATTACAGCTATTGTTAGAAATTTTTGGTAGCTAGAGAAATGGTAATAACAGTGATGATGTGGACAGAAGCTAAGTGACATCATAAATTTTTACTTTGTTTAAAATTCTTGGAAGAAATGGAAAAATGGTGCAGTAGTGATTTAGAGCTTTTAAATTGTGAATAAATGCTCATATAATCTCTTTGCAGTTGGATTTCAGTAATGTTCTTGTGGAAAATATCACAAAATAAAAATAAGGAGTCTATTTAAAATATTTTTTTCTTAATTTTTTCTCTTTGCCGGCATCAGCCATTGCGTTAAACTTTCAGACTGAATTAAACAGCGACACTGAAGTATGTTTGCAGAGTAAGGTTGACTGGGTGAGTATTGAGTAAATAGTAAATGACAAAGTTGATGGAGTATGTTCTAGTGTTGAACCTCTTTTGAATTGGAGGTCAGCTGATCCCTTAAGTTACCAAATGAAAAGTAAACTGTATTTCCAGCTAGGAATGCCCTTGAATCCATTTGTTATAAACCAACAGTCTTAGAAGTGTTAAAAAGAAGTATGAGTTTCAGAAATGCCTTTCCCTGATACTTGCATGCACTAGTAGCTGAAAACTAAATCTTATGTGTTACTTATTTAAGAGTATTACAAAAGTCTGTGGTGTTCGTTTAGTCTTCATTGAATTGAAGACAGCTATTTTAAATTTAAAGTACGCATGTTCAGTCATACGATGTGTAAAGAATAACATCAGAAATAATTTTTATTTTGTAGTTTTATTAGCACATGCACAAATTCATTAGAGGCAGTAAACTTCACGAAACTAGATAATTAAAGAGTTCCAGTGCATTCTGTAGTTCTGTTTCATTGACTCTGCTGGACCAGTCAATAAATGGGCCTTAACATTCGAATAACCAGAAGCACTGTAGTGCTTTATTGCCAGGAATACTTGGGTTTAGACATGGTCAATGTGTCCTTCAAATTTGAAATTGGTTCTAGCTGTTCACTGCAAAATGCAGTTTGTAGTGTTTCAACTGGAATGCTTGATGTTTCATAGTCTGAATTTGATATTCTGTTGATACTGATTTGAATGTTGTTCAGAGTGTATTGAAAGTTGTATATTTTTGTTAGACCAAGTGTCCCTTCATTTTTTATTTTAGAAGAGGTCTAATAATCCTGTAGTCATTCCTTTAATGTTTGAAGCTTGTGGTAACTGCCTTTGACATAAAAAGATAAAATATCAAGGTGTTGGCAACCTATCCTTGATCACACATAGGGAAATTAACGGTTATGCTTGTCTCTTGAGCAATATGTATTTAGGAGAACAAACTATTCCCTTTTAGAATAGGCCTGTGACCAGCAATGTTGTAGAACTCAGTTTCAACAATATTTGGCTACATGTAGCTGCATACTGCATTTCTTTGATATTAGTATAGCTGTACTATTTTTTAAAAAAAACTTCTTTTTACATAGGATGTTGAAAAGGCTTTTTATACTTTTGACTGTCAGCTGTTTCATGGGTACCTCCAAATACCAGCTCATTAGTACCTGATGAACCCCTGCTGGATGGACAGCATTGTCCTGGAGGCTGGCACAGCAGCTTCACAGAATGTTTTTCTAAGCAGGATGTTCAGTGTCTAGTTCTGAATACTTTGGAATCTGAATCTGATCATACAGTGTTGTGTATTAGTGCTCTTTAATCTTTCTGAACATTTTCTGTGTTTCAAAAAGTGTCAGTTATGATCTGAGAAAGCTGTATGTTGTTACCTATTTACTTTTTGGCTCCTGATACAGTGAAATAATGTCCCCATTCCTAGAATAATACATATAAATATTTCACTTCAAGAACTTGTTCTTCAAAATTGTAATTGTGTTTTGGGTACTTTAAATTTTATTGCCTTTTTGGCAAGACAGTAATAGTGTTGTGTATCTACAGTCATAAAATTTTAATTATCCTCATCCCTTTTCCTTCGTCCTCCAATATATTTCCTTTTACAGAAGAGAAATGAGCACAAGACTAAACACACTGTAAAGTGAAAAATAAGAACAACCATTGACATAATAGCATTGCTAAAGGAAAAATCACCTTGTTACAACTTTTTATACCAGTCATACATAGCAGCAATCTATTAAAGAGAGAATAAATACTCAAATTGATATAGGTTAGGAAATGCAGGTTATGTTTTGGAAAGTGTGGTGAATGGTGAAGATTTTAAAAAGTAAAGCAGATTTATAAGTTAGTGGCAAATACAAAAAGATTTTTAGAAATAAGAGAGGCTTTTGAAACAAACAAACAAAAAAAAAAAGCCAACTCTGACAAACCAGGTTCCTAAAGCAGTGAAAGAACTGAAAAAGAATCTGGCAACCAAATTCTCCAAACTTTTACTCTGGGATATTTAGTAGGCACACTGAAAGCTCCTTAGACTTCTTCCAGGAAGAAAGAATCATCATTATGGCACATCAGGAGTACTGCTCAGTGTTAGATTCAACTCTGAGTATAAAAACCAGTGAGTTATAGAATTAAAACTACTGTCTGAGTAACTTGCAGTCTGAAACTTCTAGTCTTAAGCTTTGGAGGAAGTGGAGTAGAGCTACTGTTAATAATGAGCACAGTGGTAGTGCTTGTATCAAAGATGTTAGTCTTGATTCTAGGGAATTTCCACCAAACCGATGTTCACAGTGAAAGTGCCCAAATACTCACTGTGCCCAAACTGGATAATTTAAAACAAAGAATAATTTTTATTCATTCATGGCACACAAAGAATTTTCAGAAGACCTGGAGAGTGTTGAGTTCACTACCTCAGATCTGTTTGAGGTAGAGTGAGAGGTTTGAAAAGTCTCCATCAGTCAGTATCAGTTTTAATTTACTACTTTTTAGCTACCATTTAAAAATATGTTGAGCTTCAGAAATACATGCCCTGCTCTGGGGATATTCTTTATAGATGGATTCCATTCTTTGTAGATGGATTTCAGATAGGAACATGTATAAGAATGATGTTGTGAGTAGAGATACTCAAATGTTAAGTTTTGTACTGAAAACTAAGCATAATAGAATTCTTGATATTATAAAGCAGTTGGCAGGATGATGTGATAGGAGATGGTGCAGGAAGAAATGTAAAAATACTGTGGTGACATTGTCTGGCACATTGCTGTAAATTCTGCTTTATCATGCATGTTTTGTGGATTTGAGAATGTGTTAAATCCTCGTTTGGACTTGGAAAGGGCCTTGGACTAGCTAAGACTTGTGAACACTAGTGGAACATCACAAAACAGAATTAGCAGTATGGCTGTTAACTTAAATCTCTGAAATACCTAGATTTTTCTGATTCCCCCCCAGCATTAGACAAATCAGGAAAAGATAAGCAAATTTCAACCATGAAAAATGGAAGTGCAAGCAGAGGGGATAATATACTAGAAATATTTCACCATTTCACTGTTTGTAGTCTTAGCACACCATAAAAGCTGATGACGCAGTTACAGTATGAAGTCTTAAGTGCATATCTGTCCAGAAAATAGGATGTCTTCTGCTTTTGACAAATGCTTTCCAAAATGTTCCGGTCTTCCCCCAGAGTCTGTCTCAGTGAGATTAAAATTCCTCAGCCAAACCTGTGGAGCCTTTTGAGAGCCAAGACAAACTGTTTCAGGATAAACTGCTTTCGTACTTTCCCAAACACTCACTTAAAGGTTTTGGCAGCTGGAAGAAATGTGACATTATACTGTAGATGTTGGGTCTTGATGCTTTTGAAGCCTTTTGCTAAGTGAGAGAATCCAGGTCTCTCTTTTGGTTTTAAGGCAAGTTCTTCCTTTTATTATTCCTCTGTGTAGCAGCTTCTGGCTATGTTCTGGGTGAGATAAGAGAAATGGAGAAATAATTGTGTTCTTTTTAAAAACTAGCAATAGCACTGTAAAATTTTATCTAAAAGATTGCTGTCTCAAATGTGCTTACCTATGCTGCTTTGTAGGTTGTTGAACTATTCCTTCATTGTATGTAGTAAATAGTAACAAATATTCTACAGGTTCAAATTAAGCTTCTCAGCAGTTTTACATTACAATTATTCCTATTTACAGTTTGCTGCAGTTATTTTGCAGGACCTTCATCTTTCAAGTTAGAGATGCATAAACTGTTATAAATAGCTGCAGTCCCGAATACAGTTTAATTTGTGCAAGACTTGTTGCTTTCTGGACTGTTCTTATATTGTAAAGCAGATGGTGATTCAATTGCAAAGAGTAGAAAAAATGAACAGAATCCAGTTTTCTTCATGCATGAAAGAAAGTATTAATTGTCCAAAATCTTGGTGACTGATGAAATAAAAATTTATTACTGAAGCTGTGCTACAACTGTTATTTTTAACTAAGAAACTCAGAAATATACATTCTTGGTTTAATATACTTAAAGGAAACAAGCTTCATACCATAGTTTTGTGAAATATATAAAAAAATGTTTAACTCTTTCCTCTCAATTTTAGTTACCTGAAATGACTGAAGTGAAGATCTTAACTCAAACTATGCTGTCTTGTCAACCAAAACAGCATGAATCAGAAGCAAAAAAAGGTAAAATATTGCATGGGGCTCTGTCAGAATTGTATTTTCTGGATAGACAGAAAGTTGAACTTTGAAGAGATGTGGGCTGCATGTTATCTTTTCTGATTAGCCAGTGCTTTGGGAATTTGGCTTCCTTCTGTACCACAATTTGAGAGCAATATGAAACATTTCTGCTTTTCAATAACACTCTAGAGAAAGTGTAGAACTTTGCCATAACTGAGGTGGGAAGCTTCCACTGGTAGACTTGCTGGCATATAAGGGTGTACCTGTCTTTTTTTTTTTTTTTTAAAAAAAAAAACCACAAACAAAACAATAAACAAAAAACAACAAGGAAAATCAAGGAAAAACAAACACTTAGCATAAAATTTTTTCTTCACAGAAAATCCTGTTTATATAAATTGCTTCTGTGTGTAGAAGTACAGATTTGAGTTCTATCCTTTAGCCTGTTGCAGGGGTCAGCCATGGCATACAGACTATTGCATGCAAACAATTTAACAATTTAGGATTTTGCTTTCCTTTTTCTACTCTTACTATACTGTTTCTGAAATATTAATTTTCTGATGGTTAGAAATAACGTGATTTCTTTTATGATTAGTCCTGGACACTTTGTTCTTGTGTCAACACTCTTCTTAAAGTATGCTTATTATGCTTTTCTTTCTGTACTGCCTGTCACTCAGTACTCATAAACCATAATAGTGTTTTTGTCATGCTTTGGTAGTTTAAACAAGTCAAACTTTTTTTCATTAAAGGATAATCTCAGGTTCTAGGTGTATTCTCACAGCCCTACTTTGCACTGCTTCCTGCCTAATTCTTCATTCTTAAACGTGTCACAAGAATTGTGACAGTGATCTAGGTTAGGACAACAGTTCATTGAGACAATTTTTTTTCTGTTATTGGCTCCCTGTAATTGGGCTTCTCAAATCTCCCATCTGTAAACTCCAATCCTTAAGTAATCTCTGGACTCTTGGGTTGTTCTATTGTTTAGTACTTAAGAATTGAAAGAATTCTATTAAGTTTTTTGAGCATTTCCTATTTTCCCTTAGTTCTTGCACAGTAATTCTACACTGTTGCGTGTTGCTGACTTGAAAGTAAGTCTTGCATGTATCCCCTTTGAGGCTTAGGTTTGTTTCTTCTTCCATCTTGGTAAACAGAATAATGTTCTGTTCTTTGGATCTAGCTTGGTGTCCGGCTTGTCAAGTTCTAACTGTTTGGTGGTGGCAGCTTTCTAATTCTACCACTAGCTCATTCACTTCCTTGCTTTCTCTTAGAATCATAAAATAGTTTGGGTTGGAAGGGACCTTTAAAAGTCATCTAGTCCAATCTCTCCGCAATGATCTGGGACATCTTCAGCTAGATCAGGTTGCTCAGAGGCCCGTCCAGCCTGACTTTGAATGTTTTCAGTGATGGGGCATCTACCACCTCTCTGAGCAGCCTGTGCCAGTGTTCCACCACCCTCACAGTAAAAAATGTCTTCCTTATCTAGTCCTGAATCTACCTTCTTTTAGTTTAAAACCGTTACCCTTTGTCCTATCACAACAGGCCTTGCTAAAAAGTCTGTCTCTAACTTTTACAAGCTCCCTTTAAGTATTGAAAGGCAGTGATAAGGTCCTCCTGGAGCCTTCTCTCCTCCAGGCTGAACAACCCCAACTCTCTCAGCCTCTCTTCATAACGAGAGGTGTTCCATCCTTCTGATCATTTTTGTGGCCCTTCTCTGGGCCTACTCAAGCAGGTCCATGGTCCATGTCCTCCTTATCCTGGGGGACCCTTGAGGTCTCTTACAAGGGTAGAGCAGAGCGGTAGAGTCACCTCCCTTGACCTGCTGGCCACACTTCTCTTGATGCAGCCCAGGATATAGTTGGCTTTCTGGGCTGCAAGCATACATTGCTGGCTCACGTCCAGTTTTTCATCACCCCCTAGTCTGTATTGATACCAGGGATTGCCCTGACCCATGTGCAGGACCTTGTACTTGGCCTTGTTGAACCTCATGAGGTTCACGTGAGCCCACTTCTTGATCTTGTCCAGGTCCCTCTGGGAGGCGTCCTGTCCTGTCAAGTGCACCACACAGCTTGGTGTCATCTGCAAACTTGCTGAGGGTGCACTTGATCCCACTGCCTGTGTCGCTGGTGAAGATACTAAACAGTACTGGTCCCAGTACAGATCCCTGAGGGACACCACTCAACACTGATCTCCATGCAGACGTTGAACTGTTGACCACTATCCTCTGGATGCAACCATCCAACTAGGTCCTTATCCACTGAACAGTCTACCCGTGAAATCCATCTCTTGAATTTAGAGAGAAGGATGTTGCGGGGGATGGTGTCAAAGCCCATAGTCATCTTTGTATGTTTTTAAACAAGGGTAAACAAAAAAACCCTGTAAGTATGCTCATGTTCTTTAAACTATTATTTTTAGTGTTGTCCTCAAGTCTTCACACAGGTTGAGCAGCTATTACAATCATTTGTGGTCAGAGTCAGGAAAAAAATCACATTCATAGTTGACTTTGTGGCCTCTCTTGTCAACAGCCCAGCCTGAGAAGCAAAAACTGTAGTCAGTCAAGTCAGTCACACAGTTACACAGTCAAACTGTGTAACAATCTTACAGGAGGTCCATTATTCCTAAAGGAGTAAACTTCTTTGTCATCAGGAGATAAAGTTTGTCCCTTCTTTGCCTAATTCCTTTCCTCTTGTTCCTGCTCTTGTTTAAAAATGTGAACTTTAAATATGGACATGGGTAGACCTATTATATTTGAAGCTATGCTAGAGTAAAGATAGTGGTACAAACTTGAATGATAACATGCATGTTCTAAGCAGTGCCTTTGACTCTTGTTAATTCAGTGTAAAATCCTCAAAACGATTTCATTGGTATTAATCTGTTTGCCAGTTTATATGCAGCAGATCTCATAATTACTTTTAGTTGTTGAAAGACATCGTTAATAGCTCCAAGAAAAGAGACACTCAGTTCTTGTTAGCTGTCCTATAGAAACATGTGCCACTTTGGTGTGACTTATAAACAGGTTTTCTTCTAGGGTTCCAAGACTAGTCTGTGGTATTTCTGTTAATTAGCACAAGATACAGGGAGTCTGCCTGTAGTGTGAGGTTGGATTCACTTGGTTTTGTTTTTTCATATTAAAACAACAAACCCTCATTAGCTTGGGATAGCTAATGATAAAACCCCGTATTTATTAAGTCAATGTGATAAATTGAAATTATCTGTAATTTATTACAGATTGTCTTGATGCAAGGTCAGACTTAAATTACTGCTGGTTTTAATACTGTTTTTTATATTCCACATGCAGCATTTCCACCCTTTTGTAAGAAATCAGATCAGTTCTCTGAATTCCCAACGTTAATACCTTAAACAACAGTGTTGAACTTGGTAATTCTGTATATTCACAGAAAGAATCAAATACAGCAGAGATTTCCTCCTGAAACTTTCAAGTGTTTCTCTGTCTCAGAAGAAGCCAGAGTTTCTTCCTGATCATCCAATTGTACTTGAAAAGCCAGTAAGAAAATTTTGGTATTTTGGTAATATATAAATAAATTGTATATAGCTATATAATTATATATATTATTATAGAAATAATATATAATTATAAATAATTATATACGTTTTGGTAATATATACACTTTCACACGGTTATGCTCATAGGTAAAGGAGGACACCCACAGAAATGGCAACAGTGGACAAATGAATTCTAAAATCACTCATGACATGGCTAAATTGCAAACAGTTTGGGTAGAGAGGAAGTATAGTAAAAACTGGTGCAAACCAAGATGGGTTGCATGTGTTTTAAGATACTGTTTTGGGGTTGGAGGATCTGTGTCTGCAGGATGATGACATAAGTGTATCCAGTTATATATAGTTTTGTCTTTAGAAATAACAGCATCTCACAGTTTGTGAGGCCTGCTCTTAAAGTCTTGCCTCTGCTTTGTGTTAGTTGTATGCTAGTTTCTCATACAGATAATAAAGCAGTGAGCTTTCTCATTCTATTCAGCTGCAAAAGGGGATGGGTAAATTACAAACCCTTATTAGTCAGGATGTTGTGTTAGAATAACGTAAAGTGTATCACTTAGCTGTTATTATTGGTGTCTTAAGCACAAAGTATGGATGGTTGAGTAGGAAGCTAAAGGAAAAAAAAATCCTGTTCTCATTAAAAGACAGCAAAAGCTGTTGAACTTGCTGTATGATTTTGGAGATGGTGTTGAAAAGGGTACTGTAGGTATACTGGTCTCATTAGTAAATAAATGTGATATTTTTAGCCTGCCAGTCATACCTCAGAAGTTAGTCCCACATAAGTATGAAATTTGGTTGGTGATAGTCTGTATTTTTTTTCTGAATTGACTAGAATAAATGTCTTGCTGTTAATATAGGATAAAACTATCCACTGTTGTGTTCTAGTGTTGAATTTTAGTATAGACATTGAATTCTTAGTAATTCTGGAGTTTGTTTTGAGGAATATTAACATTAATTAAACATAAGTTCTTTGGATGTAGACTGTCTTAAGATGTATTTTGTGTCTGCATGGGTATATCAGCTTGCTTTTCATTAAGCAGTTTCCTTACTGGCATGGAAGAGGAAAAAATTACCATTGTTTCCAAGAACGTTGTAAGATCTCAGTTAAAGTATATGAACCTTGTTAAAAATCTCATTCCCATATACTGAAATAAAAATTTTTGTGGGGCACATGAACCCTAGCCACCTAATCACTTTCTATAAAAAGATTGAAGCACTTGGGGATGTTAAGTTTTTCTGTGAATAGAATAGAAGTTGAATCTTACCCAGGAATGCATTAGACTTGACTTGGCCTGTCAACTAATAGATCTTACTTTCAGGTCTTGTATGTTAGTATGAAAAGATAACATGCTGAATTTCAAGAATGAGGAGGGATAAAACACATTTCAAAATTAGAAGGAAAAAACCCCAGTAACTACAAACATTTTATGGGACAAAGACCTGCATTATTTCCTCTTCTGAGTTAGATGCATCTCTTGGACAATGTTACTACTGAGACTTTCATGTAATGTATGACTGATTAGTCAATATGGAAAAAGGAGAGGCCTCTGTTCAGAATGCAGGGCTCGTTGTCTCCCTTTAAAACAGTGACACTGAATAAGCAGTTTTTCTTTCAAGGAGAGGGTTTATCTCAAATGAGAGTAGCCTGAGCCCAGTATGGGAGAACAAGCATTTAATAATTCTTGACCATGTAATCTGTTTGGTTTTTTGGTTTTTTGGTTTTTTGGTTTTTTGGTTTTTTTTTTTTTTTGCTTGTTTGTTTGCTTTTCTTTCCTAAGCATGTTTTTAGTAGCTTTTAATCAATTTTACTGGAATCATTTAGTTTGGAAGGAACCTCTTGAGATCACCTAGTCCAACCCCTCTGCTCAAGCAGAGTCAGCTAGATCAGGTTGCCCAGGATCATGTCCAGTCAGGTTTTGAATAAGTCTGCAGGCAGAGACTTCCCAGCCTCTTTGTGGAGAGATTGCACAATGCGTTGCAGTGCTTGGTCACCCTTGCAGTAAAAAAACAATTGGTTTGGGGAGGCTGTGAAAGCTGTGTCTCTTTCATCACATTTTACTGAATGTTCCTATTAGTTAAAAAGAAAAAAAAAAAAAAAATCAAAATTCTTCTGCATAGCCTTTGTGCTTTCTAGAAGGGTGGGAGAGTGACAGACTAATTTTAAGGACATCCTGTAGCAGAGTTGTCGTAATAGTGAGAAATTACCTGAATGTTGCTGTTTCTGAGATCTCTAAGGTAAGTGCTGAGATGGATTTCTGCACCGTTTTGCATGTGGCATCCTGAAAACAAGTCATCTAAAGACAGGACGCTCTTGGTAGAAAATTATAATAGAATGTTTGCATCCTGATGGCATCATTATTCTGGACTTGTTTTTAGTGGAGTGTGCAAGACCACTTGATTTACTTACACTGAACACTGAGTGATGTTCAACTGTCCCATTATCCATCCTCTTTCCTCTGCACTTTAGTTTCCTCCATGCAACAGATTCCCTGGCTACATGGGAAAATGCCAGTGTGTTGACTGATCCCATGTCATTCGTTTTTCTGCACAGAAGACAGAGGGATCACTAAGATATATGTGTAAACTAAACGAATGATGCTTGAAAGTGGCAGAGGGAGACCTCATCATTTCTAATGATGAACAGACAGTCCTACAATGTGTCAGTAAGCTTGTATTTAGGAGCAGGTGGTTGCCAACAGTTTGCCAACGAATTGAATATTCAGGCATTTCTTGCCCATCTTAAGACATTGCTAGTTCTCAATTTTTTAAGTCACTGCTGAAGTACATGCCCATCTCTGAGTGAAAGCCGTATTTTCAGATGGAGAAGTCTTCCTAGAGTGACTTGTACAAGGGAGATGCTTTTGTTACAGTTAGTGGGCTGTGAGTTGCATTTGTCCCAAAAGACACCGGGGTTTTTTTGAGATGTGGTGATGAGGCCTACCTATGCCTAGCTCAGCATTGGAACTGAACTGATGCTACTGTGTTGACAAAGTCTTCTGGGAAGATTTCAGATTAAATCTCTCTGATTAATGGAAGTAGAGCTGTTTGTATTAATCAAAAAAAAACCCCAAATTACTAAATGTACATGGAGTAGAAAAGGGTTATGAGCAGACCCCTGAAAATTTTGTTCAAATGACCTCTTATACCTTGAAGTAATTTGAGGGTTTGTTTGTCTTGCAGGAAAAGAGCAATCCTTTTATTGATATATGCAAGAAGTGACAGGTTGTTTGGAAGATGAGAAATCCATCAATGAAGGAGCTACGTATGATGTAGATCTTGAAGATTTTTTGAAGGTACTTGGGTGCTTACAGATGAAAGTAGGACCCTGTGAAACCTATGGAAATGCCTGCTTCTTCCTGTAACTGCCTGAATGCTTTAAAACTCAAACCTTTAATTTTAATGCCTGAGATGGTAATACAATTACAGTGAAAATAAATAATTTTACATTTTGCTGTGAAAGAATTTGTCCTCGAATCATTTGTTTTATGTAGCTGTATAGTTTGTCTGACCATCAGTTGTAAACCAATACTTGACTGGGGCTTTTTGATTGCTCCTACCTTCCTTCCTTAGCAGTAATAGTGGAACAACAAATGCTAGCTGTGTCAAATCTCAGATGTCTTAGGGTATGTATTCCTCTACCTTCCCCACCCCCCCTCAAAGAACTTCACTTCTTTTCTGTCTTAATTTGAAGCCTTCATCTTGTCAGAAGAGATTCCTTAATATTTTGTGATTACCTACCTTCTTTCAAGGTCCAAAGTCTCTTCTTACTAACAGTTTCACTAAAATGAGAAATCTCTCATCATTGACCAGAACAAGAGAAGTGTCTATGCATTGCATTCCTTATAGTTCTTCATAAATAATTGTCCAATGTTTTTTTTTTTGACGTTGAAAAGTGGAAGTAATGAGAAAAATTGAGAAACAACACAGATTTTAATCATGTCTTATATGGGTAAATGGGTATACTGATGCAAAGTTAATTCTATAATTTTTTTTTCTTAAATTAGTATAGTATTTAATAGTGAAGTGGAAGGCAGGAGTTTGAGTAGTTCCAGAAAACATCCTTCAGCTGACAAGCATCAATAATAGTTATTTTGTATGAATATAATTACCTTAAAAACCTGTATTCACACCTGCAATAACGTCATTTGGGCACTGAAGGCAATTTTTTAACCTCTCTCACAAATTATAATGGAGGATAAATGAGAATGTGTTGCAATAGTGCAGAAAACTTTCAAGGTGCATTTGATAGTAAGATTTTTTTTCCCTGAACTATATAAATGAACTTGTTTAAATTCAGTTTCTTTTATGCTTAGCAGCAGATAATCAATTAAAATCATTTTCTAAGTATATTCTATTTGTATGTTGTTTACAAGTAATGTTACAAAGAACTGAAATATGTGGTTGGTTGGTTGGTTGGTTGGTTGGTTTTTAATCACTGGGAGTTTTTTTAGAGTGAGTGCTATGGATCTTTTTCCCCAGTATGTGTTGAAGGCAATTTCTGTGTATAGCTTTCAAAACTCTTAAGTTAAACTTCTCAGATTTATTCTTCTGTATGATTCATCAAAGTGTTTGTTTACTAGTAAATATGGAAAGGAGAATAACTGTTGGAAGGACATATGACCTACTAGAACTTTTCCCTCCCTCCAGCATCTAATTGACATGAAGTTCTAAAGCAGGTTATTTTAAGAATCATTTTAATGTCTTTTTTTAGTGAAAAGGAAAATTGTCATAAACCTCAGTGTAGTGTGTTAGTTTTCACTTAAGGATTTATCCTGCAGCAGTGTCACATGTCACTGTATTTCCTTGGTCTTTTTATCAGTAGTGACAAAAGAAAACGTCATATACTAGACTGACATCTTGGCATAGGAAGAAAGCCAGCCAGATCTTCAGGAATATGAGTAGTTTAATTTTGCTAAAGACAAGAAACCTTTAAACTTCCACTGATATGTCATTTGTGACTGTAATATGACTATTCGGATGCTTTTTTTAAGAATGAACAGGTCTGTAGTTGGATCATGTCAATATGGGAAAGCTTTGGACTTCCTTATTAAAAGCATTCACTTTTTCCGAGTTACTGTAAGATTTAAAGGTGAAATTTGTCTCTAACATGGGCACCTAAATTTAGATTTCGTTTGCATAGAGAACCTAGGCTCCATTGATTTTATTGGCAAAGGGTTTGATTCAGCTACCTAAAGGTTGGCATTTGGCGTCATCTGAGACATGTATGATATCTGAAGTAGCTGCATGGGGCTGGCGTAAATGATACATAACATGTAGGTAACTCCTGTCCTTCTCAGCTGAAAGCTGGAGACTAGTCAGGATACCCTGGAGCATCTCACATGTACTAGATGCCTTTGTTTAGGCAACCAATTTGCCTCAGAACTCTGTTGATAGAATAGGAGCTAAGATGCCTTGCTCACATGCAGGTACCTAAATGTGCCACCTTTCTTAATCTTGGGCTCAATCCTGGTCATGGTTTCTGGGATAGGAAACCTTACTGTGATAAAGATTGCTTGTTAGTAGTCTAAATTGCCCACTTTTAATTAGATATGGTAATGTGTTGGCTGAGTTGAAATACAAACAGGTAAGTTATTTTATTGAATATGACTTTTAAATTACTTTTTGGGTACAGTTTGTAACCTTGGACAGCTAGATGAGTGGAGAGAGTGGTCATTCAGTGTGTAGAACTTGCCAACCTGTCATGGAGGTGTGAGGTTACAATAGTCACTTGCCTTTCATTCTTGGGCTGGAGGACACACCTCCTGCTCAGATGCAGGCGACAACAGCAAGACTTCTTAGGGAATAAAGTATTTCTACTCACAGGTTTATGGCTATTTGTGTTCTAACAGCAGTTTGTCTAATGACTTTTCAGTGAGCTGCCAGTGATCTAATGAAAATATTTTGAGTGGTCAGGACATGGGCTTCAAAGCAAATTAGTTGTGAAATGCTAAATCTGAGGATCCATAGCGGCTTGATATACAGGCAGATATGTTTCCTGTTGTGAGAGTAGGGGCTAAAGGCTGTGAAGAAAAAACGGTTTTGCAGTGTCTGGTCATGGGCAGAAAATATCCTCTATGAGTGAAATACTGTATTAACATAAAAAGTTGTCCCTATGTTTGTTCTAATTAATGACTTGCAGCTTCTCTGAAGCATAAGACGTTAATGGAAATGTATGTTCGTGTTCATACCGGTTTCTTCTGTAAAAGGAGAAAACAGCAGCATTAAGTAACAGTTGTTTATTAACGTGACTAAAACTTTTCACAAATATTTAGTCATACCAATCAAGACACAGTTTTCTGTGACAGTTTGAACTGAATATACACAATAAACAGTTTACAGTAGTTGTCTTATTTCAGCTTTTAGAATGCATCATTTCACTGAACGAGTCACAAGAAGAGAAGGTAATGTGCAGTTTTCCATATTTTAAAATGGAAAATATCGCATCCATAATAAACAGTATCACAACATAAATTCATAACCCAGCACACCTGTACACTGCTATATGAATGTTATTGTAATGAAAAACAATGCAACATTAGCATTACTTGGAACCACAGCTTCTAGTTGTTATTGAGGACCCACCACGATGCTGAAAGAGAGGAGAATTTATGTATTTATTTGTTAACATAAACAGTATTTCTTTTTCTACCGCTTTTAAAAGTCATAAATAAAGTAGCTATGATGTATATAAAGAAACATTCATTTCTATATGCAGCTAATACTACTTTATTTGAAAGCTGCATACTTTCAAGGACAAAACCTCTCAGTCAGGGGAAAAGTATTTTAAATACTAGGAGAGCCAAGTATAACTGGTGGGGGGATAGCTTTAGCACAAGAAATTATATCTCCTTTTGATAACATCCAAAGAAGCATTAACGTCATAGGTACAGTTGCATGGAATTAAGCACCCGGATCCCAGAGGGCAAACCAGATAAATCCTCGCTCGTGTTCTGCTGCGTGTGTTAGTGTTTCAGTTGTGCACTGCGGCCCCTGGGTGGTTGTGCTGCGTTTAATGACTTTCTTTCCTGGTGACATTGTTCAAACATGGTGTTCTTTTACACAACTCCAGGAATTAAAAGCGTTTTGCTCCAAAAGTGAGAGAGCTGATGGATTTGTAAAATGTCATTGCCATAAAAGGTCTGAAATCACCAGATTATAGACAGGGCTGGAGTAGGACACATTTGTACATCTGTCCCATAGTCCCTACCCTTTGGCCTTTTGAATTTGAGCCTTATGGAGAGAGGAACCACAAGATTTATGGAGAGAGAGAGAGGAAGGAAGGAGAGGAATTATGACTGTATCTGAGATGCCACATCCTCTTAGCAGAGGGGTGTCCTAGGCTCAGTAGGTTTTGCACTACACAGTTTGGGGATTAAATTTATTAACACAAGCTGTTTCTGTGAATGTGTCCATAGATCCTTCAAGTTATGCCATTTTATGAAAAATGTTATTCTTGAAGAAGAATGTTGAGAAGCTACTTAAGAATCTTACCTGAAATGGGGCTATGAAAGCCTGGTAGTCTCTGACACATTGGTGGATTAATGATTTTTGGTCAAAAAAATACCAATTTAAGTTTATTTCATGGATTATAGCATCATAAGTATTCAGTGGTTTCCCCCCTAGATGTTGTTTTCTTCACCAGAAGGTTCTCTAGATTCCTCAAGTCCAGATCCTTTATAAAAACAAGGCATTCACTGAAGATGAACTGAGTGATTTGTGCTGCCCTGGTAGATTGGCCTGAAGCAGCTTGTCAGTTAACAGGTGTGCAAGTGATTATAATAGGTTGTGATTCCTATTAACTGATAGTAAATTAATTTGCTTTAGGATAATACTAGATCTGACAGTCTTGAAAACCCTTGTCTTCCTGAATCATTCTTGGCCACAGAAGTGTATCCTTATTAATTTTAATTAATCAGCAGAGTAAAGACTCTTAGGTTGTAGTCCTTGATTGAGTCAGATTCAGATTACAATTTAGAATTGTTTCAGGGTTTAGATACCCAAATGCGTAAAAAAGTGTGGATGTGTCTGAGATAGGCTCTATTTTAAAACCAAATTTACCCTATCTGTGTGCTAGTTGCAGACAATGTTGTTTTGTTTTTTTGTTTTGTTTTTTTTTTTTTTTCCTGATTTTACAGTGGTATCACTTTATGGTGTCTAAAATTCTTTCATAAAATATCCTGGTAGGATTGCAGCCATCATTTTTTATTTCAGGAACATTTTCTGCCTATTAAATACAAATATGATTTGTATAGGTCAAACACGGGAGGTACTTTCCATGAAACAAAAGTTCAAATCTCTGCACAGATTCCTAATTCATAGATAATCCATAAAATTGTAAAAATAACTGTGAGTGCATTCCTTCCCATTGCCCCCCCAATCAAGGAGTGCACACTGAGAAATGCTGTTTCTATGGCAACTGTCTGCCAGGATGCAGCGCTGCAGACTGACATCCTCCTTAGCAGGCAGAGTCCGTGCTTTAAGGAGCATTTAAAATCCAACTGCAGACACTTTTATACTTAGGCATTTAAAAATCATGTTTACATTTTATTTTATGTTAATCATACTTTAGCTGTGAGTAAACCTCCCCACCCCCCCCCCAGGAATGCTCCTGGGTCATACACAGTCTAGCTCTTGGACATTAACCTTGGGAAAAGGCCACCTTGTTTCCTACAGCCAAGTTTTGTCTTAAACTCAGAAATTTCCCAGTAAGATAGAAGGTTTGAAGTGATTCTTGACTAATTAAGTGCAATACTCCAAGAATCCCTGGCATATGATTGTGTGTCCAGAGCAGGCTCATGAGGTCTGAAAAAGTCTTGGCTGTTTTCTTTTAAGGAGAAACCCCAGGTACAGGACTATGTAGTTTCTTTTTTTCTTTTTCCTACTAGGTGGGGTTTTATTATTTTAAGTTTAGTCTGTACTCAGACATAGGGGACATTAAGGTTTCATTGTAAAAGATTTGAGTTCCCTAAGCTAAAAAATTTGCTGTCCTCCCTCTGGTAAATATGGGACTGACTCTTGCTTTGTTTCATCCTGCACTGTCTCTCTGAACTACCATTTCTAGGAAAAAAAAAGACTTTGCATGTTCATTGGTTTGTATTAGAAATAATAATTTGGGATCTTTAACACCTTGCTTTATCAAAGTAGCTTTTTTTTGTGTGTGTTTTTTGTTTTTTTTTTTTTTTTTTTACATAGCAGTAAGTATATATAATAACTTGGTTATTAAATATCAAATATTAGTGACTGAGGCTCCCTTAAACCAATGTAAGTATGATGAAGTTGAAGTCTTCATCAGAAATAACTTTTCTGCCTGAAAATCTTAAACAGGTTCTATTTTTCTAATCACAAATAGTGTTGTTTATTCTAGATATTTTCTTAAATAGTATATGCTAGTGTAACTTTGAACTATATAAAATAAAGCATTGCGGGTCTTATTCTTGCTGATGCCTTTTACATTTCTGTGCTTAAAATAAAAACACTTGTAGTCTCTTTCTCCTCCATACTTTACCAAAGAAGATATGACTAAGGGGGATATTATGCAGTGGTCCTGCATATGGAACACCGTAATATAGCAGAACTTTTCACATGGAACAAACAAAATAATGTGAAAAAATTATATTTACCAGGGACTAGCATTGTTGTGATGAGCTCTGGAGTTTCCAAGAAGTCCACATTGCTTCTTTGGAATGTCTTGCTGTAATTCATTTGAAGGTGTCTAAATAATTGTAAAAAATAAGAATATATCAAGTTTTTTAAAGGGGCTGAATTTCTTTTATGAGCATTAGACATTTTACAGTTAATGCTGTAACAGAAATTTTGTGTTTCAAAACTTAGGCAATGATGGTAGTGGGAGAGGAGACCAGGTAAGCTGTGAAGTGCTTGCATGGTATATTAAACACAGGTTTTCTTCTGTACGGTTAGCTGTTGACTCTGGTGCTCATCTCCTGTCTGAGACCCAGTATACTGTTGATGTGCATTACTAGTGTTCTTGAGTCTTCATAAAAGTAAACTTTGAACTGGGGTTTTGTTCAAAAGGAAAGCAACTAAGCTTCAGGAGACTTCTCCATCTTCCTTCAGAATGGTTTCTGTCTACAGATTTAGGATCATAGGGTTTGGTTGGTTGTTTTTTACTAGCAAATGTAGTTAATGAAAATCTTTTTGTCTTTATTCAGTTTCTTAGCCATCTGCCTGCCACAGACTAGAATTTGGCTGGTAGGACTTTTAATCACCGTAATTTCTATTCTGGGCCCAAAAGAGGCACTCTGGGAATCTGTCAGATAGGTTTTTGTGATGTGGATTGGGAAGCTTTGGGAGAGCTCCCCATGACTGCTTGCATGCTGAAGTGTGTTGCTGGATGGCACACCTCCTGTCTCACTCACTGGCTCCTTTTGTTTCTTTCATTAGTAAACTGTGGCAATATTGCTGTTTCCATATTCTTTTGTCTCTGCTGAACTAACATCCATCTGATGCCATACCTTTATCTATTTACTTTCAGACTTTTTATGTTCTATTCAAATTAGCTTTGTCTTTCTGACATTTTTATTTATATGTTTCAGTATATTTTAGTCTTTAGCAATTGAAGTATTGTTCTGAAGTATTAACTGTAATATATTTAGCAAGAGATTGATTAGCAGTATTCAATTGCTTGCTAACCTTCAAAACTTTCTGTATTACAAAAACAAAACCAAACCCCTGAAACTTACCTATTCCAGGCATTGCTGTTCTCCCAGAACTCATAAACAATGAAGCGGGAATCACTTGGAAGCTTCTGTATAGAAACACTAAGAATTGTAGCACAGAACTAATGTAATAAAATATGACAAAGTTATCGGACATACAAATCTTATTCCAAACTGCTTATGAGTAGGACCAAATGCAGTGATTTAAAAAAAAAAAACAAACAAACAAACAAAAACCAAACCCCAAACCAATCCAAATATAAGTTAAACAAATAAGTGATCACATACTGCAAATGACCTGAGCTTTTATTTTTATTAAAAAAAAAAAAAACAAAACCCTCTTGGAGTATTTTCATGGCTTTTTATTCATATTTTATATTACTACACTTACAATGGACTTATTCATGAAACTCATTTTTCATATTGTCATTTATCTAAAGAAATGCTAATCAGTAATACAGAAAATTAATCAAAAACTTTGGTTCAGGGAAAATCAGCTAATACGGCATATTGCACATAGAGAACAGCTCAAGTTAGTTTTACAGAGTAACTTGTGCTATTTCATTGAAGAATTACACTGTGATAAGTCAGCCTTTTGTATGAGAGATGCATCAAAGTGGAATAGAGCTTAGCGCTTTGAAAGCAAATATATAATGGAGTATGAAGCCAGATAGGCTGATGTCTGCTGCAGATAACACTTTTTAAGTAATACTTTCAGGTACTCTTTACTTGTTCTTACGCTGTTCAGCTAACAGCTTATCATGGGTGAAAAATGACCCACAGGATATCTGCTGATCCTCTACAAAGAATCATCCCACTTACTATCCTGAGCCTAAAAGCTTTATAGCACGTAGGGTACTTACACAGTTGGGTACTCAAATTGGTGTTTGGATGTATAGCACAAAAAGTACATGTACATCCTTCTCTGAGTGCCCAAGCGTGAGTTTGCAGATTTTACTACTGATGTGCTTGAAAACTGGTCTCATTATATTTCATACTGTACGAAGCAATAAAGTTATATGATTTATTGGTTTTCTCCTGCCGTAAGTGAAAGTACATTGTAAAATAGCAAAAATACCAAGAATTTGGAAGAAATGTGTCAAACGGCTACAGTAAAATCCAGCCAGTAGGTGGCATTACAGACTTTCCAAATGCCTGTAAACGGGAAAGTAACTTTTTGCCATCATTTAAGTTGCGTTCTGAAGTCATGCAAGCTCTCTCCCCTAACAAGTTTGCAGTCACTACTGTGTTTTGCTGGATGTTCGGTTTTGGAAGGGGGCTGGGAAGCTTCTCGTTTTTTTCCAGCTCTTGGCCCACAAGAGAAGCGTATTTTTCTCATCAATCTCCCTTTACAAGTGAACCAGTGCAGAGAGGTCACTATTTTCTTCTTCTATTTTAACTCACTTTTTCTGAGCTGTGAGAAAAATACTCATACAATCCTAAGTGTGACAATCTCATAGCAACAAGGCTCGTAAATTAAGGATGGGATGGGCAGCCTTTAAATATAGAGGCAGATCCTGTAATGTGTACATATTACAAGAATATATTTCATAATGGTCTGTAGTGTGTGTGGTAGTAGCTTTCTCAAGTATGTAAATTAAGAACTACAGTACAGTGGTGAGTCGCTAAAATTTATTCTTAACCCAGTTCTAATGTTTTAATTAAAGGGAACAAAGCAGAAATACACTATTTCATTGAAAATTTTGCTTTTTAATTTTTCCCATTCTTTATTATGAGTGAAAATTTTAAAATGACAGCCTAAAGGGAAGATTTTTAAAGCTTCCAAACAGAGAACTGGCAAACAAGTTGATAAGTTGCTCACTTGCCAAGTGAGTACAAATGAAGGATGGCAAATGAGTTTTCCAATAAAGTGTATCAGCCTGTAGCTTCCACAAGCCATGACTTTATGACCTGCCAAGATGAGAAGTCTTTAAAGATTGTTTAGCATCTTTGGGATAGCCCATATTTTCAGTTTCTGATACTACTTAAAGTCTGCATGTACACTTTGACATCTCTTTCTGGTTTTAGTTGTCTTTGAAAAGCTCTGTCTCACACACATGCATAACCAGCCAGGAAAGACAATGTTACAGGTTCTCTCTTCAGTAATGATCCAGCTTCACTTAGAGGTTATTCAAGAAATCAGACTATATTCTTTCCTGCAGCCCAGGGACAATAACATTGTACTTACTGCAAGCAGCCACCCTGAGTAGAAGCAGATTCCACATACTGCTTCAGAGCAAGCCGGAATTCCTTGATTTCTTCTTCTATCACAGACATTTGACGTTGAACAATCATTATGTGCTGATACAAAAACACGACAGTATTACTGCCACATCATCCTCTGAATTCCTTGTACTTTAAACTCAGAAAAGTCTATCATAAAACAATAAAAACCACAATCATCACAGAAAACCCACAAAAGTTCCTTTGAAGTTTGCAGTCCCTGTTTTAGTGCACTGGAGTGCAGAAGTAGAAATGCTTGAGTGTGGCTTTTACATCTCGGCGGGCTGCACTGCAGAATGGAAATGCCCAAAATGAGCGTCCACCTTGGAGATAGCAAGTCGTCCCCACCCTGGATGAGAGACTCTTTTTTTGGAAGAGTGTGAAGCAAATGTTGATCTTTGAAATGCTCAGTAATGAAGTCATCCTGTTTCCTGGGATGAGTCTCAATGCGAGCAGGTGTGAGGTTTGAGATAAGAGTGTACATGCACAGTCTGCGTGGGATGCAGTGTTACTTTTGTTGAGGTGCTCTCCTAGAGCTCTGACTCACACCTGAATGAGATGCCTAAGGTAGCTCATGTTAAATGATGAATAGAGAGGGGTATTTTTCCTCCACCTTCTGCAAAAAATGAACAATCTTTATAAGCAGAACTATGGAAATACTTGTCAGTAGAGAAGACCTATTTATCCTGAATTGTTATGATTGTCATTTAGCTGTTTGAAGTAGTTTACATATTGATTCACCTATTGAAGCTTGTCAACTTTAGTAATGCAATATTTAAAGAAACAACACATGCTTATTAACACAACTTAATCTTTTTACAGGTTTTTGACTCATTTCTGCCTTGATTACTGATACTGTTATCTCATCGATTATCCCTCAGTCATAAGCAGCCTGTCTAGCAATACTGTATAATCCACTTAAAAAAAGAAAAAATCTAATGTAACTCCTGTGATGAAATAAGGAATTTGATGGATCATCTATTTTGGTTATTTTTTCATGTGTATTTGATTTGCATTTTGTTAGGCTTAAAGCCCTGAATTTAGTGTATTTGAAAAATTTACCTTCATCTTAGGACATAAAATTATTTAACAGTAAGTTTATTTCAGATCATGATTTTGTTTTTGTAAGTTCTAATATTGATTATTGCTTAGCACTAGATGCTCTCCTTTCTTTCCCAATAAGGTTTCCTATAGCAGTTTTGAGGGAGGCTGTACATCTATGATTTAAAGCATACATGCAGCATTAGGTGATTGGGAGCAGAGAAGCTACGACCCCATAAACACTGCTCGCAAATTTGATAAATGTTATTAATGACACCTTTTTCTCCTTATGTGAGTTGAGGTTTTGGCTTACTGTATCCTTGAAAAGCAATTCAAAAATCGATATAAAATTTTTGCCCACATAGTCTAAGTTTTGTTTTGTTGCCTCTTGCACAATGTGTTCTGCTAACTAAAATGGACTCTTATCACTGGAAAAAGTGAGGATGGTGTTTTTTTTTTTTTTTTAATTATTCTTTAACAAAAGAGGTCAAGTGAGATTGTTGTCTCAATAGCTGGCATTCAGAATCAAGTATAAAAATCATTATCTTGAAAAGCACTTACAGATCTTGCATTTTCTTCCAAAACTTCCTCTTCAAATGGATCAAGCTTTAGGTCCTTTGAGGCAGTTGAAAAGAAAATAGAAAAATAAGAGGCAATACTACAGTTGTGTTCTGCTCTTACCTTCTTAACAAACTGTTCCAATAGCTAGATTCTGTTTTATCTCTAGGAGTTATAATGAAATCCCTTCTTTATTAAGACTCCTGTAAGTCAAATATAAGCATTATTTGCAGAATCTTGCACGCTTCAGGGGTTAAATCCAACAAACTCTGTTATGTAAAGTTTTATTTATAATGCTGAGCAGGTGATCTTCCATTTGTAACAAATCTTCTTGTTCACAAATATATGTTGGACTTAATTGAGAAAAGCCAGATACCTTCTCAAATTGTCAGGTGGACTATGGGAGGTGAGCAAGGATGGTAATTTGAAATGCACTATCAACCATTACTATGCAATCATAAAACCTTACACAGAAGAAACTTCTCTGTGGGGGGTCTATGGCTGCAAAGGACAGTTTTCTAGCACTGAAAAAGATGCATATGATGCAGTTCAGGTTACTGAACTGCTGCACTTGCTTCTGAGGATGGGCTGGGCAGCAGCAAACGGATGCATCTGCAAGGCAGCAGTATGCTTGCTTGGTGCACAGACTGAATTCACACTTCATAAATCGGTAATTCATGCAAATACCACGTAGTAATGCATACAACATTTTCATTCACGTGCCAGGCACGCACAGTACCTTCTAACCTAGTGCTATCTTCTGAAAAATATCCGTATGTCTGAAAATAAGCAGATCAATTTGCAGTAAGCAGCTGCTGCAAAATGCCCTCATTGTTAGTGGTGCTTTGCTTCTTATTGCACGCAATTCTTGTGAAACAAAGATAAAAAATTTTCTTCTGCTTCTAGCTGGGTGAGGAATGATTGACCTCGGGTAACAGGCATTTTGCCAGCACAGATACTGTACTCGCTGAAAAGCCGACAAGGGGTGTGCAGGTAGAATTCAAATGAACAAGGGACCTGCACCAGGAGCAGGTGGCAGAGGAAGGCAGGAGGGAAGTAGCAGTCACACAGTAACTGCTGTGTAGCTGTACCTCTCCCACAGAATGTGCCTAGAAAGGCTTTAAACGTGTGTGTGGAGGGAAAACCACACCGTTTTAGTAGCTCATTTGTCAGTGCAGACACTTCAGATAAAAACCCTGAGGGAAAATGCATATTCCTGTGGATCTATACTTTCAGTGCATTTCCCCCCCCCCCCCCCCCCCCCGGGGAAATGTATGGAAAAATAGAAGAAAGGAATGACTAAAGTTGTACTGCAAACTTTCTCTTAAGGTAGCAGGAAAAGAATTATATTTTTTTCCAGTATATATATAAATTTAGAACTTGAGAAAAAAAAAAGAAAAAGATTCATAAGACTGATTTATGGTTAAATTCACCTTTGACAGAAGACAGCAGAAGAGTTAAACAGCACTAAATCAACCCCTCACCAGGTAGTTCTCCAGGAAGAACCACTGATGGATAACTTGCTGGCCCCCTCAAGAAGTTAAAACTAATGTATAGCAGTTTTTCGGTAACGTTATGTGATTAGGCAGGGCATGTCTACTCAGATGGGGTAAATCTACACAGCCAGCCGGCCTGGCCTCAGAGCATGCGAGCACTGGCCTGTAGTCCTCATCTCCGCAGAAAGAGGGCTCGGGCATTGGCTGACTCAATGTTGAGCATGAGTGAAGTAGCCCAACGTGGAGAACAGGTCCTGCCAGATAGTTACCATGCAGCCTGGAAATAAAAGCTGGTGCAGCTCAGAGCTGGGGCTCTAAAATGCCTCTACAGCCCTACCTCACCTCAGCTGAGAAGTGGTAACATCCGAAATTGCCCTTTAGCGTAATTGTGCGATCCTGGCTAATCTGTTTCAGGGCAAAGTCAAAAGGAGGAGCTTTAGTAGCTGCTGAAAGATGGCTGATGCTTAACACCTCTCACAGTTAGACCTGGGCATAAGATACAAACATACAAAGTTAGGCAATATGGGTATAGGCTGCCTACTTGCAAAATTAGTCTTATCTAATTGCTATGCTTTATTAGTCAAATTTTATACCGGGAAGGAGGTAATTACGGAAGGTCTATGCTCTGCCACTCTTTCTCTTTGGCACTGAGCTTCTTTTCAGATTGAGGTTCTCTGTTATTTATTGGCAGCAGATTTAATAATTTTATAACATCCTTCTTGTAAATTCATTTGCTACAAAATGGTTCTGTAAAATTGGCATTGCATTATTGCTGTATGCTAGGTTTCTTTTTTTCAGTAGCATTCTTTTAAATGTTAAATTTCCTTAAGCTCCTTTTGGCATCAGTCTGTGTTGGGAGGCAACTGTGGCAGGGCAGCAAGCTGCTGTTTGCAAGGCAGAGCTGGGAGTATAGCTGGACCGAAAGCGAGAGTTACATTTCACGATGGACTTTGGCATTTCAAAATCCAATTTATATCTATCATGAAAAAAATCAAGTTGCTACTAAAATGTTATTAATGTGGCAACTGCTGTGTGATTGCTTTTGTCATGCAGAAATGACCCCTGGGAGGAAGCTGCTGTGTGCAGATGGATGGTTGTGCCCTGGCCAGGGGCTTAGTGGACTGAGCAGACCACGAGGAGCTGCTGAGCATAGCAAGGAGCGGGGTGAGAAGCTGACAGAGGTTACAGACAGTGCCACAAGGAATGGCCGAATTTCACAGCTGGTTAGGGAGAAACAATGGGAGAGATGTTAGACCTCAGGGATAACCAAAGGGGGTACTGGGCTCCTTCTGGAGAGCAGAGTCTTGCAAGGCCAGCAGTGGTGGGGCTGACTGTGTCGGTAATGCAGCTAATCAGTAATAAGGCTGAAATAACAGAAATACCAAATTTCGGTCCCAAACTGGGACCAAAGGGGAAAAGTAATTAGGGGCGGTTTGTTCATTTGGGAGGCAACAATGTCAGAGAAAGGTCAGCATTCTGTCTTGTTAAATCCCTTACTGAAGTATTTTCAGTGTGTATAATTTGCTATTGAACTCAAGTGGGATTATTGGATGAGTAGGAGGAGACAGTTGTCTGTCAGGACCCAAGGTCAGAGCCAGTGCCTGGGCAAGGGGCGTGGGTCCAGCCACAAGTACTAGACAGACTGAAAGCCCATGGTGACCTTCACGGGGGAACATCCGTCCTGGTCAGCTGGAAAGAAGGATCAGGATCAGGCTGTTGCACGTTCACGTTTCTGCATGTGCTGCCTTCCTGTCTGCAGGTGGTGGTGAAGGCACCCGTGCCGGTGTGCGTGGACCCATGTTTTTGGAGTATGTGCACAGCCTCACAGCTGGTGAGCACTGGCCTGCAGGGAGGAGCAGCATCACCTGCACTGGGGTCTGACAGCACTTCAGCCTAAAACCTCGCCACTGGTGGACCAGCAGGAAGAAATCCCCTGAGTCCCAAAATCCACTGAATTCAGCACCCATCTGAAATTGTCTGTCTGTCCTTCAATGGGGACACTTTATGTAGAGAACACCACACGAATTAATAACCTTATTTTTTCCTCTGCTCTTCTTTTTTCTCCAAAAAAAAAAAAAAAAAAAAGTCATCACACACAGACATAAACCAACTTTTAAAAAAGATATTTTCTGTACAGATGTTACTCAGGTTTTTACAAGCCCAGGGAAGCCTTGGTATCATTGGACCAGATGGGTTGTTTGTCAGACTCCTGAAGGGCTTTGCTTTGGTGTGGGAACTGCAGGTGGTCTCAGGGCTCTGGGGATTTTTGGTTGAACTGTACTCATTAGGAAAGGGTTTTAATTTTTATAAATGAGTATTCTCTGATGGGGAAGGGGGAAACAAAACTTTCTGTCAAGTTTTAGTGGGAAAGTTTGGAGAGGAAGAGAAAAAAATCAGATCCTAAAGAGAGAGGGTTGGCCCATGTTCCCCAAAACAAGGATAACTAAATGCAATAACACACTCGTCATAGAGTAATGTGACCTTTCAGATCTTTATGAAAAGTTGGATCTGTGGTGATGGCAAGAGGAAAGGGGAGCATGTCATGCTCTCATGAAATAGGAAAGAAGAAAGTGGAAGGAAAATGTAGACATATTTAATGCGTATTAGCTCTCTTAGGTGATGTTGAAGTTTCACTTATTATTGATTGGAAAGACTGTGACTGGGACATTGTAAGCATTTGTGGTTTAAAGATTGCTTAACTGAAAGTGAGAAAGCAAACAGGTGAAAAGAAACACACACCTTCTTTTCCAGCCTGTCAATCAGCTTTTGGAGTCTGTTTATCTGGGTCATCCACTGGCTGTCTTCCTCAGTCCAACCTTTGGAAAATATAAATAATGAACATTTATGAAATGTTACTAAATGCTCAAAAATAGTGTATTCATTTATTTTATAAATACAGTTTTGCTCACCGTGCAATTTATTTTGCCTTTCAAAGATTGTGCTGCAACTAGCATTAACTGGATGTCCCTTGCAACTAATGGGCCTTCTTTACTTTTCCAGCTGTACAGCATACCTAGGTGCTTGATGAATTGCAGCAATATGATTATTGGGATTGATCCTTCTTACACAAGACTTTCTAGAATGAGATTTTGATTTTGAGAGGTGTAATTTATGCCTGCGGTGACTGCGAATTTTGGCCAACTCAAGACTGATTATGTTTCATCATAATAGCTTTCCTATGTTTATTTTTCTGCCAAGTCATGGAACTCAGCAACAGAAGAAAGACTAGACACTGTGTCTTGTCTTTCTATATGGATAGGACATGCCCCTTTCAGAAGACTTCCTAGCTCTCATCTCTACTGTAGTCATACTCATGACTGCATAATGACCTGGTGTCATATAGCAAACATGAAGGTAGAAAATGTTGTTCTACAAAGGCACAAGCATCAGTAAGCCTCTCTAAAATCTGGAAAATTTTGCTTTGCTGAAGTCTCAAGAAAATTGTTTATCAGATGAAAAGGATAATACTCAAGGAAACAGGTGTGTGCGTTATGAAAGCAGTTACTGGCATCACCCACAGTGAATGTGTACGTAAGTGATGGCTTGAAGGAGAGAGGGAGGTTATTTATCAGAAACTGAAGATTTTTCAATGCATGCTCGATATGCACATTCATTAACCTGCTCATTTTTCCAGCTGAGAGTTCCTGTGGCACTTGGACTATGTTTTGACCAAACAAAGAAATCCTAATGCTGGGGATGTACCACAGGTGTGATACGTAGATGTGGCAGAGTGTGGCTTTGCCTGAACAAGTACAAAGGCTTAAGAAATGCTGGCTTGAGTGTTGAGTGCATATACACACCTACAGTGTTACTGTACCTGTGGGCAACAGGCAGTAGGAGGAAGATTAAGTGCCAAGACAAACACACATCTTGTCTAGGAAAGGACACAGCTCTTAGACAGCTATTAGAAGAACTGCGAAGAAAGATGTTAGCTCTTTAAAATTACACTAAATGGCTTTGTTACAGCTTGCATGTGTTTGGGTTCCTTCTGAACTCTGTGAATTAGGAGTGCAGCAACAAGGCTATGTGACCTTCCTTGTTATGAACACCAGCAACTCACAGCAAGGGACCAAACTTCATCCTGCATCATTGTGCTGAATGAACATCATCGTTTGGTGAGTGGCAGAAATTGAGTCATGAGTGTGAGTGAGAGAAGGGTCTTCAAAAGAGGGTTAAAAAAGAAGCGGTAAGCACGTGGCTGCAAACAGTGAGATCTGCATGACTGGTCAAGAAGTGAGCTTGACCCATCATGTACTTCAGTGCATCAGTCACCTTCATGCTTTGATTCTGGGAGGCATCACTGAACCTGGAGATGGCTTCATTGCAACCTCATGCTTAATGTCACTGCTTTGCAAAGAAGCAAAGAAGAAGAGTACCCTCTCATGTTTTCCAAAGCATAAATACTGTTTCAGATTTTTTTTAATCTTCTTAAATTAAATATTTTTTTCTTTCAGGTTTTATATTTTCCCCTCCTGTTTCCTGTTTGTCCCTCAGGTGGGATGTAAGTCATGACAGAGAACTTGGCTCTGTATAAGTCGTAGCCTTCACCTTCTAATTCTTATTTGTAGAGTACAAATATTACCTAAGAAATGGTGAATCAACCCACAGCCCCAAAACAATATCACAGTTTGGCCCGTAATTATGTATTTATTTTTTATCAGTTCAGAACTATGGGTACATATTTATTTTCCTCACAGTTTGAGCTAATATCTTCTGTATTAAACTGAAGATTGATTTCTCTCAGTAAAGTATCTGAGTTAGTTACCATGTCTAAATTAAATTTCTGAGCGGAAGTTACATGTTTATTTTTCTGTATATGTGTGTGTATGCACATGTTTTAAAATATCACCATACCTGTGCTAAAATGAGGGCTATTCGGTGACAGGCTGTTGTTCCTCTGAAGCCTTCGAGCTGAGCGTTTTCCTGGCCACTGAAATGAGGATACTTCTGTATTTTTTGGATCTTGTCTGCACAGAAACACAAGAGACTTCATAAGGTAAAGCATGTGGGAGAGCTCTCCTCTCTGTGTTCCCAAAATATGTTCTTATATGTTCCCTTTTGAATTCAAAAAGGAGAAATACCTACTACTGAGACCACTGAATTGTTTTCCAGATTTTCACTATTACTAATTAGTTGTGTTTATGTTGCTAGTCATTAGAGAAGTTTTTTAAAAAAATAAATAAAAAGGTGGGTTAAGATGGCATAAACCTGTCTTTTAGGGAGAGAAAGCTCAAGGTCAGTGTCTGTCCATGATGTGGTTCTGACCTGACCTAAAGAACCACCCACACCATTTCTTCATTCATGGGAGTTTCGTAACATCTCTGCAGAGGATCTGGGGTCATAAGAACAGCTAAAAGTGAGATACGAACTTTAAACATTAACCGCTTCAGCTTAAAGATTGGAAAGATAAACAGCAACATGTATCAGTTATTAAGGAAGGAAAACTGATGAGAACTATCTAATATTGTATGGAGGACAGATACATTTCTGGGACCAGTATTGAAACACAACAAATACAGAAATTAATTATGTCTGTACTGTGATGACAGAGTCACTGAAGCTTTAGAGTTTGTGTGAGGACTGAAAGCTGTCTCTACGTGGTTCTTCATCATCCAGCTGAAGAGCAATGAAGGACCAGGACTATGGTTAGTTTTGAAAAGTTAGTTGGAAGAGTGGTTGCAAAGAATTTTAGACAGTAACTTAAACAGATCAGTAAATAATTCCCAGCTTTGGAAAGCTCTCTGGTCTTCTGAAGCACAGAATGAAGGCTCACCAAAAGCTCACACACTGTGTTAATGAGATATTTTAGGATGGTATTTTTTGCAACATAAAATCCCCTCACAATAAGCCAGATTATGGCAGTTCCCCACTCTGGGCACTCTTAAATTAGTTTGAGAGTGTCTTAACGGGATTTTGATTCAGACAGTTTGCCCTGAGTTAAGTTAAACATAATTGGACATAATTTTACATAGGGACTGGGGCATTTGCACTAGGAACTAACTCATTTTCTGCAAAGTAGCTGTACTTAAATTGCTGAGTTTGCCTGGCTTTTCCATTGCTACCTCAGAAAATGGGGAAAATAGTATTTGGCTTAACAGCGTCACACCTCTCTCATTTTCTTTGCCATAAACCAAATTCACCATCCACGAGGATATTTCTGAACAACTGTACTGATAAAACTGGAGAAAGAAGTCTCCCCAATGCCCTAACAGACAGCCAATGCAGATGAGAAAGCTGGCAGCAAAAGGGATGTTCCTATCTCCCAATTCTACTCACTCAAGTGAGTAGTTTGGGTTACTCAGATGGTCTTTCTAGGCTGTATTTCTAGAGAGACTGTCCTAAAAGGCAAGTCAGAGAAGATGTCAATGATTACTGCAGAGGATGTAAGAGCATCTAAGTTAGGCTCCAGCTCTGAACTAGCCATTCAAGAATTCTTTCTCTCACATCAGCTGTGTGGGGAACCTGGAAAGATGTATGCATGAATGGAGGGGTATCTATAGTGTGCATACCTGGCACACCCTCAGCCTTTCAAAACCTGCTGATTCCTGCGGTCAAGTTGCTGTCACAAAACACCATTGTATTATTCATGTACTTCAGAGATCTCAAAACCAACAACAAAACCAACAAGAAAATTACATTTCCAAAAGAAAGAATGAAACAGCAATGCATTTTCTGCATTATGCAACATATGAAATGTTGAGATCTTCTTTGTCCATGAAACACAGTGGCTTGTATTTTGCTTTCCCTATCCTTTTTAACAATAGCTTACTGAGGAAAACAAATCCATAAAGCCAAGTACCTTTTCAAAAATTTTTTGATCCTTGATCCTACAAACCTCATCTATGAAGTCATGGTATTCAGCTAAACCCCTTGGATAGATATAAGTTACCCAGATGATTGAGAGTTTATACTGGATCATTGTGCAACCAGGAATGAAAAAAACCCTAAACTTGGAAGAAACAAACAAGGAGACAGTCAATTGCCTTAGTAATTTCAGAGCTCTTCACATTGCAGTGGTTTGGTTTCTGCATTTGATATTAAATAGTCAATGGATTTTAAAAGTCAAAGGAGCAGAGCCTAGGATATAATAAAATGGCCTTCCTACGTGCAACCCGCCACAGGATCAGATTGGAACCTGCTTGTATTCAGTTTCAGGAAAACTCCTATTAGTGAGTTCCTATATTGAATAAAAAGTGCATCCTCATTTCTCCTGTTATTCCTTACATCAGGTTGCTGGGTGAAATGTAAAATGGTCTTGGAGGTTCACAGTGACCCCACTCCTCACCCCCTTCACTGCAGCTGGGCAGAGGGTTTGCTCACCTCTCCTGCCGAGTCTGCTCCTCCGTGGTTTCCATGGCACACTCCAGGCTGCTCTGGAGGGACTGAAGCTGGTTCAGTGTTTCCTTCAAAAGAAAGCGAGTCACAAACTGCTCCAAATTAGAAGCTTCCTGATAGTCCTAAAAATTACATGGGAAAAAAAAAAAAAAAAAAAAAGGGTAAGGATTTGCCTACTGGGTTAGAAATACGTGAGGGAAGATTCAGACTTAATTCAGAAAGGAAGCAGCTTAGATGTTTTTGTGCTTATACATACAAACCATATAAGCAACCTTTATGCTTCTGGACAAAAAGACTTCTGAATTTCCAGGTATAGACATTGATCTCACCCAAACTGAGAGAGGCCCAGGTACATACTGGCACAACATAATTTCTACTCAAAAAGCCCCTTTTCCTTACATTCTTTAACTCCAGTTGATGGCAGTACCACATTACTTCTTAAGTATGGAAAAGCCAATATATGATTGACAACTACAGAAGTGAATTTAAAGTTTTTATTCAGATCCACTCTTGTGAAAATATGTTTATCTAGCCCACCAGACTGTCTCTGACAGTGCTTATGGGAATAGTATTTGAGCAGGGCATGTGCTTAGTGATACTCCCTGGAAAACTCCACTAGCAGCTTGGCTGAAGGACTGCCTATGCCAGAGAGATTGCGTTCTGAATTTTACCATCTTTGTCTGATTTTTGTTCCTTTAATTTAATTATTTTTGAAACCATACCTATATATTTCACAATCACATGAAAGGGACCCAAATGTTCTTTGAGTTGGAGCTTGGTTATTAGAAATGTTTGCACCTATATTTAGCAGTCTGTAATGATTTTTTTTGTAATGACATTTCTAATATATTTTATGTGTTCAGAAATATTTATACCTATTTTGCATAGATAATTTCAGAAATAAATTCTTATGCCTTCTCTCTCTGTGGCCCAGTGAATCATATTCCCATGGATGGGGTCAACTTTAATGTTTCTGGCAAGCCCTGATCTGCAAAACACAGTTTTGCATATGACATGGAGGTAATGCTGTGTGAAGGGAGTCACCTGTAAAATAATAGAAACACCCTCTTTGTTGTTTTCTCATTAATAAAAGTAATAGAGAGGATAGAGCAGATCCCTTGAGCCTCTGCTTTGTAGAGGTCCCATCAGGAACAGAGAGGGAAAATGGACTTCCATCTCAAAATCAGAATTAATTTGTTCATTCCTACCCTGATGGAAGTATGCTGGTATCCATTTTACTTATGTCCTCAGTCTGCTTATGTGTGCAGAAAACCCAGTCTGCTGAACTTGAAAGCCTTTGGGTACAATTCCATCTAAAATGGTTTCATAAAATATGAGGTGTGTTGAATGAAAGATTTCTCTAGTCACCACATCTGAAGACAGATGATGGTCTGTTATCTTCAAGCTTTAAGGAAACTTGTCATTTAAATGGTGTTGCCTCCTACTCTAGCTGAGAACCCATCTGAGTATTTTTGGCAAGGCATATGGGTATTTTTAAGCCCTTCCTTGCTCTTCCCAATGCGAATTGCAGCTTTTTTGACTTTTAGACTTCTCTTAGAATTTTTGCATGTATGTGTTTGCAATCAGAACACAAATATGGGATGTTATGAAATTTAAATGTAAAAGAAAAGATTATAAGATAAGAGCTTTAAAAGAATTTTGCTCTCAATGAGAGCAATCTATTCACAATATATGTTATTAAGTTAGTTCCTGTTGGAAGAATTCTGCTACTGAAATCTCAGATGTTAAACCACCTGTGAATCATCAGAAGTAATTTATGTATCCAGGAGCTTTATGGTCTATATTTACTTCTCTGTCTTCAGATTAATCAGGTGTGAGCCACTCTCCAACAAATAATTTCTTATTTATACATTTTTAAAAGAGCTACTTATGGCAGATTGTCTGTCTACCTTTTGAGTGAATACCTGAGACTCACACCAGTCCTATAAATAACATTTATGGCAACGTTTATGATTACTAAAGCTGGTTTTATTTTCTTCTAAATTGTCTCCATTGTAACTGATTTAAAACTTTGTACACCTGACAGAGATCATCTGATTTCGAAAAATTTTGATTCTCTGTGGCATGTTAGAAAAATGTGTGCAAATCTGTGTAGCATGGGCAGCTAAATAAAACCTTGCAATAGAAATCCAGGGTGTGTTTTAATTTTTCAGTTTTCACCAGTGCTCTTGGAAATAACGAAACAAAAAATGACAGAAATGACCATTTCTTGTAAGCTTTTGAATACCAATGCCATCTCACAAGGGTAGGATAATCAAAGTGGTTTAAAATTCTGGGCATCCAAAAAGTAAATGCTACAGATGCCTCCATATAGCTTCCTACTCATACTTGTAGTAAATCTGATACCACCATGCTGAATTATAATTTAAAAAGTACATTAACGCTGTTTAATTTTTCAGACTGTTCAGGTAGGCCCTTGCTGATGGGGGGATTGTATAAACATCAGCTGTGTAATACTTGCTGTTGTCTGAGGCTGGCTGCTTTTTGACTTCTTCAGAAATGCTTTCCTGCATCTGAAAGTTATTAAAGTTTTTTTTCATCAAAACTACTCCATGTTTGTGCATTTCACCAGGATTGAGTGTTTCTTCCTGTTCTGTTGTCCCATAAGTTCTGTATTGAAAGACATCCCTCTGGAAAAGGTCCTTGTGGTCTTTAAATATGGCTTAGAGTTACCTGAACAGATACACAGAGCTTTTTTTGTAAGGATGGGCTAGGCAGGCAGGATGTTAACGTCATTTGTGGGTGTCTAGAATTATTGAAGACTCTTTCCTTAAGTACATTTTACCCAAGTATTGGTGTTTACAACTCTTCTATGTGGAATTACTTGATTCTCTGAATGCACCCACTTGGGCAAATGGTTAATTGACATTTTTCTTTACATAATGGCTCTGAGGCCAGCAATTATGAGCTCACAGCAATGTTGGGCAACTTTGACTCCTGCTGCCCATTGAAAGATAACTAATCCTACCTGTCTTCTAAACTTTTTCGAAGATCATGGAAGAAGGCATTCAGCGTATAAAAGTTGTCAGCATTACTATAATTGAAGTCATGGAGGGAAAAGCATCCTCTGTTGCAATTCAACTCAAGCCTCAACTCCAGATCTCATCAATGAAGAATTACCAGCCATGCACTGTTATCCTTTCACCACTCTACTTCCTACAGAAAAGTGCCATCATTTTCATCTTATTAAAGGCAGTGCAAGATTTCACTAGAAGACAGAAAATGTTAATTCTGAATTAAGAAAAATGTGTATCAATTTACTACGTGTATATTATGGTAGAATCAGCTTAACTGGCATGCCCAGCATTTGTATTGTCAGTATAATGCACCACCAGTTGATAATAGGACTCACTGATGGCATCTGTACATAAACTAGAAAATTAGCCTGTTTCTTGAATTTCATTAGTTGTAAAGTACTGTTCATTAGCATATACATTATACTGCATAGCAGTCTGGGCAGTCCAGATGAAATAAGTCTGTGTGAACATATCGTTCTGCTTGTTAATTTTACTGATTGTGAGTGAATGAGCATAATTTTCCCCATCTTCCTCGTCAAGAGACAGCTGCGACCTTTGTGATCAGATAAGTTTTGGCTTTCCATTAATGCAACTGAAAATACATATAATTAGTGATTTCCTGTGGAAAAGGTCACAGTGGTCTTTAAAAGTGGCTTACAGCTATCTTAAGAGGTACAGAAGAGGTTCTCCTTTTATAAAGGCAGAGGAAGCAAGGCTTAGGTGTCTCCTAAGGGAGGCCACATCTTAGGGCTATCACAGGTTCAGTGACTCTCTTGATCCTCTTGAGCCCTGCTGCCAGCCCCAATCGTCTCCCCTTGGGTGACCTGACACCATGCTGATCCACTTAACAGAAAAGCAGCTCCTTGACATGGGGAAACAAGGAGATACCTGTCTTTGCTTACTTGGGGCAAGCAAACTCAACTTGGTTGGGACAAAAAGTAACTCTGAAATCTCTCAGAAGGGGTGAGAGCTTAGGCAGGAACTCCACGATCTTAGTGGGAAGGGATGTCTGGCTGCCATCTACTCCAAGCCTGTTTAGAGCAGGGCCAACCTCAAAGACAGTTCAGGCCACTCAGTGCCATGTTCACCTGAGTTCGAAATATCTCCAAAAATGGAGATTACACCATCTCCATGGGCAACCTGGTCCAGTGTTGCACCACCCCCACTGTGCAAAGTATTTTCCATATGCCTAGTCAGCATTTTCTTTTCTGCAAGCTGTGGCTGTTGCCTCCTGTGTTTTTGCTATGCACCCCTGAGAAAGACAGTGTTGTTTTGTCTTCTCTATAATCCTCCTTTAGATAGTAGAATTACATCTTTCCAGAGCCTCTTCTCCAAGCTGACCAAACCTAGCCCCCCTGGCTTCTCCTACCTATATTGCTCTTTTGTTATATAACAGTTTATGTTACATAACATTTTATAGCTTATTTATTTGTACTTTATTTTATTTGTAACGTTACTTATAATAGTTACTTATTACTTTTCTATTACTTTGCAATTTTCTGTTTCTTATTTTTTATGTTGTATCAAAGTAATTTAATAAAAATTATTTATGCTTGTCTTTACAGAAAATATTTCCAAGGCAACTGAAAAGTAGTTGTCATTGAGTAAAACTCAGTAAGGAATAATCTATTTAAATTTCCCTTGATCCTGGAACATTTCCTGTCCTGTATGTTTAGACCCTACATTAGTGGGAGAGTGCTTTGGGTTACAACTTTAAATTGAAGATATAAAATTAGTTAGAATAACTGTACTAAAAAGAATGGACACCTTTTTCATTTAAATCATTAAGATCTAGTTCTTCAGACTGTAGGATGGAGTCAGAACAGAGTCAGAATAAAATCATCACTTCAACAGAAGCCAGATCCAGACATGCTCACTGTGTTGATGTCACACAAATGCAACTTTTACAGCATCCTCATTGTAAGAGCGAGCAAAGGCATAACATGCCAACTATTAAATAGATTCAACTTCAATTTTAGAATGCAGCACAAAGTATACAAGTTTGTTGAAGTTTTACATTTGGAATAAATTACATGTTTATATTCTGCCTAGAGAACTGGGACAGTGACAGTCTCTACTAACCT